TTTTGATGTTGTACTTTTATATAGATGTTTATTTGAAAATTATTTTATTTATTTTTTGAGATGAAAAAATATTAATTGAATTTTTTAATTTAAGAATTGTACATGAAAATAATCTCAATCAAATCCGATGACTAAATGCAATTCAGGTTGTTGTTGATAAAGTTAAAGATAAAAAAATTGAAATTTAGTTTGACTAAGAAATTGAAATTTTTTTTTGGAACAAATATAAAAATAGTAATTTGTGTAAGTTGGATGGTCATAAACAAATAAGGCATAATTAAAAATTTAAGAAAATTATAACCACGTCGGAATAAGAAAATTTAGCAAGTTAGTCATGTTTACAATTCGATTTGGATAGTGAGCTACTCTTGTCCTCTTTGTTTTTATGGTCATTTTGTACGCTTTATGAAACAATTTAGCCAAAATCTAACCGAAATAAAAGATGACATCAAATTTAACCAAAAAAAAAAAATTTTGAAAGAGATTCTAAATTTTTTTCAATAATCTAACTTGTACTTATTTTGGGAATCTAATTTGAAAATCTAATGCACTTTAGTCATTAGATTATTAGTTAATTTTATTCTATGTTAAGACCTACCACTCATCTAATGGTTAAAACGCACTAAATTCTAAAATTAGATCCCAAAATTAAGTGTAATAACATTATTTAAAATTATTTTTGACGTCCTAAAATTTTCTTCCCATTTGGGAGTCCTAAGTAATGGCATTAATGGCCTATGTGTTGGGCCAGCACTAAGTATCATTATACTCTATACTCACGACTTCATATTAAAAGTTTTTTTAGGTAAATTTCACTGACACTCTCTGAATTTAAGTCATATTTCATTGACATTTTCTCTAATTTCTACAATATCACTGCATACCATCTAGGGTTATTCACTGTACCCTACAAGTAGAAATTATGACCTTCTAGCTTTCTATTCGATATTTTGCAGAATAATTTTTTTTTACCTACCTTACCCGATCAAGTATAAAATTCCTACCTGAATTCCGTCCTAAATAATCGGGCCAGGAAGTTGGTTAGGAAATCGGGTGAACACATTTTGTAGTTATTAATTTTTAAATAATTTTAATAATTTCTGTCACTAATGTTCTTAGATTGCAACATCAACTTTCAAAACACGAAGATTTCAGCAATCAAGGACATAGTTGACGGGTAATACTTGTTGTCACAACTCAAACAACCATTCACCCGACAATTTCTACACAAAATAATCTTGAACCAAGATATGTAGAACATAAAACTTCGATTAGAACAGAGGTGTAGTAAACACAGATGATTTGAAACATCATAAAGCAATAAAAACATTTAACTACAATCTAAACAAAATTTTTCATCTAATCAGACTCGGACCAATGAGACAATTGGCTAGAGAGAGAGAGAACTTGGGACTCGAAGAGGAGGGAGCAAGAGAAGCGAGTGTCTATGAGACTCGAAGAGGAGGAGGTGCTAGGGATCGCAGCAGAGTTGTGGCTTTACTCACAGAAGCATAGCAGAGGGAGGGATTTTAATTTTAGGGTTATATATATATATACATGCGGGAAGAGTATGGTAGGAATAAAAAAATTTGGTAAGTATTCCGCATTCCTACTCGATTTTTTTGAAAGACCAAAAATTCTTCTAATAGTCTACCTAATTCTTTTGGGTAGTCGATTAATAAAGTCGTGTAAGGTCAGAATTTGTAGAAAATCAAAAATTTAAACACTTCTAATTCCCTCTATAGTTTGTATCTGCATTCCACTAATTATTCTTACCGTCAACCACGTTATTGACAATAAAACAAATATAAATGATGTGATTGTATACTACCTTATGAATTACCAAACTTACCAANAAAGGTTTTGTGATCATGGTTAGGTCGTAATAGAAATGAATAAGAAAAGAATTAAATGATACGTGGGAGTTCTGTTAAGGGTAATTATGTAAAAATATATTTTTTATTAATGTCGTTAATCAATAAAAGTTGACAGTGTCATGCAGTGATATTTCAGAAATTAGAGAGGATGTCAGTGAAATATAACCTAAATTTAAAGGGCNCAATTTCATCATCTATTCTTATATAGAGTTGGTCTCCAAGACAACACAAGTAGTTCAGTTTGATGATATTGAATATTAATTAGGTGTTCGTTTGATAAAATTAAATATTAATTGAATGAATTAAATGTCAATTCGATGAAATTGAATGTTAAACTCAATATTAATTTGATAAAATTGAAGGTATATTTGGTCTTAATTTTTTGAAATCGAATATTAACTTAGTATCAATTTGATGTCAAATGATTAAATTGAGAAAATTTGATACTAATTGAATGAAATTGAACGTTAGTTCGATAAAATTAAAGGTTAATTTAATAAAATTAAATTTTAAACTGATAAAATAAAAAATTAATTTAGTGTTAATTTGAAAAAATTGAATATTAATTGGACAAAATTGAATGTAGATTTGATGAAATTTAATATAATCTAAGATCAATTTTGTATTGAATTGATAAAATTAAATATTAATTTGAGATAATTTAAGGACAATTTAGTGTTGATTTGCTGAAATTGAATATTAATTTGGTGTTAAATTAGTAAAATCATGTTAATTTGATGACATTAAATGTCAATTTGATAAAATTGAAAGTTAGTTTGATAAAATTAAAAAAGTTTATTTGGATTTAATTTGAAAAAAATATTTGAATGTTAATTAGATAAAATTCATTGTTGATTTGACTAGATTGAATATTGATTTGAGGAAACAAAATGTTAGTTTGATAAAATTTAAGGGAGATTTTCTTTTTTATTTAATGAAATAAAATATTAATTTGGTGCAATGGAGTGTTGATTAGATAAAATTGAATATTTATCTAATAGCATTATTGGTCAATTTGTTGTGAATTTTATAATTTGACTATTTTTTATAAAATTGAATTTTAATTGGATATTCATTTGATGAAAGTGGATATTAATTTGATAAATCTATATGTTAATTTGATATAATTAACTGTCAATTTTTTTTAGTGTAATAAAACTGAATATTAATTTGGTGTTGATTTCATAAAATTGTATGTTAATTGAATAAAATTTAATGTTGATTTTCTAAAATTAAATATTTATATGATAAAATTTAAGATCATATTGATATTAATTGGATAAAATTAAATATTATTTTGGTATTAATTTGATGCAATTACAATAATGGTTATATGTGAAATAAACACATAAACTCATCAAAAAAAAAAAAGGTTTTGTGATCATGGTTAGGTCGTAATAGAAATGAATAAGAAAAGAATTAAATAATACGTGGGAGTTCTGTTAAGGGTAATTATGTAAAAATATATTTTTTATTAATGTCGTTAATCAACAAAAGTTGACAGTGTCATGCAGTGATATTTCAGAAATTAGAGATGATGTCAGTGAANTAAAGTGTTAGCAATTCCCCATCTTTGTGGTTAGAGCATGTTTAGGCATGGCCGCATTTTTTCTGTTCAATGTAAAATTTCCCTTTTTCATGTTCAATGTCGATAAAAAGCTTTCGTCATGAAATTTGTTATTATTTTGTTTTCGTTTGTACTAATAGAAAATGCTATCTTATATTGAAACTCAATTAATTTAATGACTGCATTGAATTAATTATTTTATTATATCCCTAAATAAGATAAAATTTAATGCGCATCTGAAACTAAATTGATAAATTATACTTAGATCTTTTATGTTTGTCACCTAATCATTTGGACCCCCTCACATTTAGAATATTACTCCTACACCTCCAATCTTTTGTGCATGTGTAACATATAATTTCTTGTCGTTGATATCTTTTAATATAACTATTAAAAATATGATTTTATCATACTCTTTATTTTGTGGGTCAATTATACTTTAAAGTTAAAAATCAAGATTATCATTTGAATGTTTAATATTATGTAGATATTTATATAATATTTTTTATATCCAATGCAATATATCACTTAAACAAAATTATTTGAATGTCCAGTTGAGAAAAAAATTTTAGTCATATTTAGATTTTCAAGGGATGTAAGTATAATATTTTATACGTGAGAGATTTAGGTGATTAAGTGACAAATATAAGAGGATTTAGGTTTAATTTATTCATTTAATTTTAGACAGCAACAAATTTATACAAATTTCTATCTTAATTTACCCAAAAAAACAGAAAGTGTATCAAGCCTTTTCTGTCATGGAAAATGCAATTGGCGGCCAAGGAAAAAATCCAATCTAGCAGTCTGAATCTTTTAAACATGTTGCATCAATTTATAAAAGACAACACTGTAATACATAATTGAGGGTGAACTTTTGTGCATGAGATAAGGTTGGTGAGCTGGATATAAAGAGCATGAGTCACAGTAATAGTTTCTTTACATGCGGAGATAAAAACTCTTTACTCTAGATTTTACAGTTGTGGGAGTTTTATGCACCGGTCGGTGAGCACTATTATAAATAAATTAATATTATTTGAGAAATTTTGTACACAAAAAATAAAAGGAAAAAAATAAAACACCCATTCCGCCAAACCCAACCTCACACAAAGCAATAAAATACCGAACTCGCAACATAAAAGCACTGCCAACACCACATTGATTTGAGGCCATATTTTATGTGACAATACTTTGTTAATCATTATGTCTTCCACAGCAGCTGTTAGTGGTGCCATTGGGGGAGTATTTTGGCATGGGATGAACCATATTGTTTATTCAATTTTTTGACCAATAAAAACAATTTCTACTAATAAAAAAAAAAGGAATAAAGTCATTGGTAGTGACATACATGTGGTCTATAATTCCATGCCATCATATATAACTGTTAGTTGATCAAAGGTATTAGTCTGCCTACAAACAGACGACAATGAGGAAAGAAACCCATCACCGCCGAGAGAGAGAGAAAGAGAGAGAGAGAGAAAGAGAGGGAGGGAGGGGGGGGGGGGGGTAGATAAACCAAGCAAACACAAAAAGAAAAGGTACAAAAAGAAGAAGAAAAGCTACTTGTAGTTGATACGCTTGTAACCAGCCTTTTGACAACCCTTATTAGCATAGGTCATGACCTTTTTGAATTTGACTTCTGTCTGGTACTCGGTATTACAACCCTGTTTCTTATCATCAAACTTCACACTGGATTTGAGCTTCACCTCTTCTTTGTGCCCTTTGAAACCAGTGTTTTTGTCCACAAACTCCTCTGCCTTATGCTTCTTGGTGAACTGACTTGAACATGCCCCTTTTTTGTCTTTGTAGATAGCCTTAGAAGTCCTCTCCACTTCGTTGGATTCACTATGCTTCCTCTTACTTGAAGTCACCAAACCACCNAGTAATTTCCTTCCAGTATTCCAATGTGCTTCCTTATACTTTTAGTGTGGTGGAGGTAAAGTGTTAGCAATTCCCCATCTTTGTGGTTAGAGCATGTTTAGGCATGGCCGCATTTTTTCTGTTCAATGTAAAATTTCCCTTTTTCATGTTCAATGTCGATAAAAAGCTTTCGTCATGAAATTTGTTATTATTTTGTTTTCGTTTGTACTAATAGAAAATGCTATCTTATATTGAAACTCAATTAATTTAATGACTGTATTGAAGTAGTTATTTTATTCTATCCCTAAATAAGATAAAATTTAATGCGCATCTGAAACTAAATTGATAAATTATACTTAAATCTTTTATGTTTGTTACCTAATCATTTGGACCCCCTCACATTTAGAATATTACTCCTACACCTCCAATCTTTTGTGCATGTGTAACATATAACTTCTTGTCGTTGGNTCGTCAACGAGGCATGGTTGGTTGATGGGGTGTTTGATGTTCAAATTTCTTGTGGTGAGTTTGCATCCACCAAGCTAATCAATCCAATGATTTTCCGGCGTATCGGGTTCGGAAAGTGCCTTCTTAAGGATGGCAAGAAGATAAGTCCTGGTGAAGTAATTTCCTTCCAGTATTCCAATGTGCTTCCTTATACTTTTAGTGTGGTGGAGGTAAAGTGTTAGCAATTCCCCATCTTTGTGGTTAGAGCATGTTTAGGCATGGCCGCATTTTTTCTGTTCAATGTAAAATTTCCCTTTTTCATGTTCAATGTCGATAAAAAGCTTTCGTCATGAAATTTGTTATTATTTTGTTTTCGTTTGTACTAATAGAAAATGCTATCTTATATTGAAACTCAATTAATTTAATGACTGTATTGAAGTAGTTATTTTATTCTATCCCTAAATAAGATAAAATTTAATGCGCATCTGAAACTAAATTGATAAATTATACTTAAATCTTTTATGTTTGTTACCTAATCATTTGGACCCCCTCACATTTAGAATATTACTCCTACACCTCCAATCTTTTGTGCATGTGTAACATATAACTTCTTGTCGTTGGTATCTTTTAATATAACTATTAAAAATATGATTTTATCATACTCTTTATTTTGTGGGTCAATTATACTTTAAAGTTAAAAATCAAGCTTACTATTTGAATGTTTAATATTATGTAGATATTTATATAATATTTTTTATATCCAATGCAATATATCACTTAAACAAAATTATTTGAATGTCCAGTTGAAAAAAAATATTTAGTCATATTTAGATTTTCAAGAGATGTAGGTATAATATTTTTAACGTGAGGGATTTAGGTGATTAAGTGACAAATATAAGAGGATTTAGGTTTAATTTATTCATTTAATTTTAGACAGCAACAAATTTATGCAAATTTCTATCTTAATTTACCCAAAAAAACAGAAAGTGTATCAAGCCTTTTCTGTCATGGAAAATGCAATTGGCGGCCAAGGAAAAAATCCAATCTAGCAGTCTGAATCTTTTAAACATGTTGCATCAATTTATAAAAGACAACACTGTAATACATAATTGAGGGTGAACTTTTGTGCATGAGATAAGGTTGGTGAGCTGGATATTAAGAGCATGAGTCACAGTAATAGTTTCTTTACATGCGGAGATAAAAACTCTTTACTCTAGATTTTACAGTTGTGGGAGTTTTATGCACCGGTCGGTGAGCACTATTATAAATAAATTAATATTATTTGAGAAATTTTGTACACAAAAAATAAAAGGAAAAAAATAAAACACCCATTCCGCCAATCCCAACCTCNAAAAGGTACAAAAAGAAGAAGAAAAGCTACTTGTAGTTGATACGCTTGTAACCAGCCTTTTGACAACCCTTATTAGCATAGGTCATGACCTTTTTGAATTTGACTTCTGTCTGGTACTCGGTATTACAACCCTGTTTCTTATCATCAAACTTCACACTGGATTTGAGCTTCACCTCTTCTTTGTGCCCTTTGAAACCAGTGTTTTTGTCCACAAACTCCTCTGCCTTATGCTTCTTGGTGAACTGACTTGAACATGCCCCTTTTTTGTCTTTGTAGATAGCCTTAGAAGTCCTCTCCACTTCGTTGGATTCACTATGCTTCCTCTTACTTGAAGTCACCAAACCACCAAGTGGGACAACCTCTAACAATCCACACACAAACATCTCAGAATTTTCTTGCATTTGTTTTTGGTGGGTTGGGGGGTGGGGGGTGGGGGGCTTGGGGTTTTGATACTTTGATGTGGGGATTTTGTTGGCATTTTATAGGCCAGGTGGTGTATGAAACTTCCAAGAGTTACAAAGAGTCCAATGATCTTACAAGTTCCTACAATGAATATAAGAAATCACAACCTTTCAATTTCAATCGTTCACACCAACCATTTAAGTTGCCAGTAAGTGAGTAAATCTGTCTAGATGCTTGGGCATTACCTTTTGGCTATCTTTCCTATAAAGGATTCAACAATAGAGTGATAATAATGTGTATACTACGTGTTTTATCAAATTTTATTTGCCAAATGAATGAAGATGGTTGAATCTCTAAGACCATCAAAAAAATTAGTGGGACTCACTTATCTAACTATTCACATTAATTTGATAAACAAAATTTGACAGAAGATTTGGTAAGTCTAGAATTAAAAAATAAGATAGTGTTAATATCATATCGTATGTTGTATTACCATCAAATAATGAGATGTCTATGTGCACGAAGAATTTACCACGCATGCATACAATCTATTGCGAAGATTATAGTGTGACCCCCTCAGCTATGTCACTTACCTCAATTGCTCCCTCAATTGTCAAGTTTTTTACGATATACCTCCAATAATGGTTATTGGCCTCACATTTTTCTCTAGACTATTATATTTTTATAATTCACTGCCAACTATTGTTAATGGTTTCGTTTTGCCTCAACTTTAGACATTGAAAATGTGTATTTCACGGCGCATGTGAACATTTTTCATTCAAATCATGACGAACATTTATATTTTGGGGACATCATGAAATCAATTCAAGTAGTTATAGGGGCTATGAGAGAAACTCAATAAATAAGTCTAAGATCATAATTAGGGATCAAACTATAATTTATTTAATTTGTTCATCCACTATTTCCTATACATATGAAATCCAGCGTTTCTAGATGTGTCAATGGTAATGTCATATTTGTGTAGCTCTAAATATTTACTCCAAGATATATATACATGATTTATATGAGAATATCCTCTTTGATTATGATGCCTAGAGGTGATAATTTTAACTCATTACCCATTAACCCGCCTAATTCGCCCATAAATAAATGAATTGAATATCTATAATAATTAATATAGATTCTAAATGAGTAATATAATAGAACTCATTTTAATTAAACGGATTGAGATAGATTACAAATGAGTNACTCATTACCCATTAACCCGCCTAATTCGCCCATAAATAAATGAATTGAATATCTATAATAATTAATATAGGTTCTAAATGAGTAATATAATAGAACTCATTTTAATTAAACGGATTGAGATAGATTACAAATGAGTACCTACTAAGTTGAGTATTTATCATTCTATTGAATAACAAAAGTAATAAAATCAAATACACGCACTAATATATACGAAATACATACACACACACACACTTATCTATATACTATTAATAAAAGTACCTTAACATAAAAAAATTTTGATTCACTATTTTACCCCCCATAAAGAATTAAAAAGGNAAAGTAATAAAATCAAATACACGCACTAATATATACGAAATACATACACACACACACTTATCTATATACTATTAATAAAAGTACCTTAACATAAAAAAAATTTGATTCACTATTTTACCCCCCATAAAGAATTAAAAAGGTCACTCTATCTTTCCACACTTAATATCTAAATTACCACCATATCCTTATATATTTAAATATCCAAATTACATATAAAATCACTTTTAATTATATATTCCCTATGTATAAATGCCAATTTTTATGAAATTTTTTGACTTTTGAGTCATTATTTTACCCTTATAAATAATTATTAATGTCACTCTATCCTTCTACACTTACTATCTAAATTACCATCATATCCTTATTCATTTAAATCTCCAAATTACATCTAAGATCACTTTTAATTATATATTCCCTATGTATAAATGTCAATTTTTATGAAATTTTTTGATTGATTATTTTACTCTTAAAAAATACTAGTTGATGCACACGTGCACATGAACTATTTTGAGTGTGGCTTGTAATAGTTGATATTAGAGATTTCGGTAAACTTATTTCAATACAAAAAACTGGTTTTTTTTTCTTCATAAATACAACTGTGTTTTGTTGATGGAAAGAATTGGCATTTTAATTGAAAGGGAAAATTTGTCAAAATCTCGTTACACGAGTATAAGGCAGCTAAGTTCAATGCACTTATTGACCAAAAAACATTGTAAATGCATACCAGGCAAATAGTAAGAAGGCTATTCGTCCACTTATCGGGAGGCAAAAAAAGAAGGCTACTCGTCCACTACAAAAACACTTGTCCAAACTCATTAACTAGCGAAGATCAATAATTATATTAGTATTGTATTAACAAAGGATTGGTAGGTTCCAAAACAATACCACTTGTTTATTCCTTGAAGAATTTGGAACTTTTACGGATGACAATCATAAGCACAATGTTTGGAACTTTTTCAAAGACTTCCCCTTCCATTTGTTAGTCTGTTATTGTACGCATAAAAGCCATTAAATCTGCTGTAAAGGTATCCACAACAGCTCTTGAATGAAGTCNGCTGTACACATAGAAGCCATGAAATTTGCTGCGAAGATATTCCACAATAGCTCTTGAATGAAGTCCATATTTTCTGCGAATAAGAACAATGATAGAAAAAAAAAATCTTAAAAGCTACATTGCCATATTGTTATTTTTTAAAGAAAAATGAAATAGGTCTGTACTAAATGCATTTTAAATTGGTCTAACAAAAAGAGTTCAAGTAATCTAATGAATTTGAACGGAGTTGATACTTCCACATCCATAGCATGGGTAGTTAAAGCAAGTAAATGATTTGAAATTCGAGTTATATATTGAACTCGTAATGGTACCTCATAATTCAAAAGTCTCTCTACGGTTGAAGAATGAGCGTTTTCTTGGGCCATTATAGAAACATAGATAGGGTTGACGACGGTACAAACAATGAAACTTTATGACAACTTTTTCATACACGTTTACTTGCATCACATACACAAGTGCTCTATGAAAACCAGCAATGACCAAGGTAGACGTTATATATAGTATAGAAAACCAACAGCGACCAGAAAATAAATTTCTTACTAACTGAATAACATGAACGGCATGAAATTCAGGCCAATCAGAAAAAAAACCTCGAGAGGGGCATGTCTTAATCCGGAAGCTACAACATTGTGAAACTCAAGCCAAGATTTAAGTTCTTGTATACTATTTTTATTTGGATCTAGATTAACCTGTCAAGTAACTAACATGTGAGATTTTAAAACAGTACAAACTCTAAAAATTTGGGAACTATTGATGAAGAAAACAGATGAAGTATCTACAAACCATGATCACTGTCCACAAAGAAAAAGGGGGGGCGGATCACTTGAGACCAACCAAAAATGAAAGTGTCCATTTGGACCAAAAAATTAATTCCTAGAGTACAACATCTTTTATTTTCAATTATGGGAGGAGAAAATAAAACATTTTACCTGGAACCTAACACATTTCCTAAGAACAAGTTGAACATACCAAAACAAGGATCACTCATGCACGCATAGAAAGCATGAGGATTACTGTCAACATTTTGAATCCCTATAAAATGTTAAATTTCATGTTTAAACCAAGAACTTGAAGATAAGAGAACTGAATTTTATTACCTTTAATGCAAGACAAGGTCGCTCTGATCTCCAATTTATCACTATCGAGCACTCACTTGGAAATTTCAACCTACCTTAGCAGCAACTTGGAGACTATCCACTTGCCTTTATGAAAACATTCACAGTCCAAATCAATCTCAATCTTAAGAATTAAACCCCACCAGGCAGTAGAAGATAAAAGAGAGGATAACATGAGTATTGCTAAGTATTGCTAAGAGTTAGTGAACAACCTACATCTTAAGTCTCCAGTTTGAGAACAATCCAGTGAATGGAACATAATAAAATCACTCTGACCACAATATTTTAGTACATAAATTGCTCTGCTAAACTTCAATATGGGCGTGAACTATTTCCATTGTGATAATGCCTATCTGGGCTGGAACCTCTATTGTTTATGTAATTATCTCTGCATCCACCACCATAGCCACTTCTACCATCGCCCCTGCAGTAGAAATTGTCATAAATTATCCAGTACCTAAAATGTAAAGAATTTGCAACAGCCTCAAATAAAATGCCTCGAATCATACAAAGAATGAACATCCTCAACAGTTACCAGCAAACATACATGAATTCGAAAACACATCATGTGTCGTAAAACAACATATCAATGAATTGTTCTGCATACAAAAGCTCTTATAATATAACTACACACAAAATCCCTCTCAAGTTATCAATGATTATATTGTTGTTAAGCAGAACTATAAAACTGATGATCGAAGAGATTTAGAGGGAGTCAAGCTTAAGCTAGGTAGACAGTAACATAGAAGCAAAATCATTCAAGCAATAGCTAGCAAACCTCTTAACCTAAAGGAAAGAAGCACACATAGGGCAAACGAAGTAAGAACTAAAACATCATCTCATTAAACAGTAATGACACACCATACAAAGCTGTGAGATGAATTAAGATCAACATGTAGTCAAATACCAAAGCAAAGACAATAGTTTCATTAAAATGTATATGCATACTATATGCTTGGTAAACCCCATCACAAATCATGATCATCTATTATCAATCTTTATATTGCATATTTTGGAAAAGCTAATAAACTATACATTCAAACAGCATGAATCAGCCTCAAGTTACTGCAAACACTAGTCAAACGGGAGTGCACTTTCACTTTTCAAGACTAGACAATCACTCATGTGATACTCGCCCATAACAGGGTAAGCATGCAAACACAGAAAGAAGAGAAGGGTGTCTGCATGACAACGAACATGCACACATTTTCAAAACATTTTACCTGGAACCTAACATATTTTCAAAGAACAAGCCAAACAAACCAAAACAAGGATCACACATGCA